TTTTCTTATTTTCCGTGTTAAATTCCCATACATAATGTTAAAGCAATATTTTTTTTCTTTTTCAATTAAAAAAGCTATATAATTAGGCTATAAATGAAACTTTTTAAAACAATTTTAATTGAACGTAGCGTATATAAACTATCTATTTCAATAAATATTGTTAGTATATTTATCTCTAGTATTCTAGAGTAGCATAACATTTATAAACACAAAGAGTTATCTATTTCAACAATTTCGATACAGCGTTTAAAAAAACTTAATTAGAAATAAAATAAAAATAAAAAATAACGAAATCAACTGATTATAAGTTTAATGTACATTGACATGGAAAACATTAGACCAGAGTTATTGAAAATCATATCATGGTCTTAAAGATTAAAATAAAAATAAATTCAGAAAACAAACTACCCTCCCCCCTTATTAAAAATAGAAAAGAAAAACCCCTATAAAATCATTAAACCATTTTTTAAAGCTACGAACAAAACACAATACACACGAAGAAACATAATGTTAATTACGATTCATATGCCTTACTTTCTTAAATTAAACAACAAAATAGTATTCATCCGGTTAGAATAAAGCGCTGCGTTTAACATTGTTGGTTATTAATCCACTAAACAAACAAACACGCTTTGGTCACCCGCCGTATACATATCTAAATAAAAATGTTGAAATATTCTATACTTTTGAAGTTTGATTATAATACAAATTCGATGATCGAAGACAACTGGTTTTTATTATTAAAGCTAAAAAATTGATTGACTTTGTGCACAAGAACAAAACTTAAAGTTGGATATTTGTTTAAGATAATCTACGCTTGGGTGAATATGGATCAATACAGCTATTATGTGGTATTCGTATGCTGAATGATAAATAAACCCAAAAGCTTAAAGTTTTTTGTTTTTTTTTAAATAAAGCAGATGACGGTAGTCCTTAACGAATAGAGTAATTAAGCACAGTGAAAGTAAATGAACAAGTTATATTAACGGTTAATTATTTCGTTTTTATTTAAACGTTTTAAACATGTGGTATCTATTATCGTCTACTGTTTGAACGTGGGCCATAATTATAATTTGGTAATTAATGGCCTTCTGTAAATACAAAAAAAAACACAAACTAATCAAGTGTAGTGAGAGATAAATGAGAGAGAGAGAGTGAGTGGGGGAGGGCGTGGGGTGGAGAGATTGACTGGAATGTATACAGCAAACAATATTTGATGCATATATACACACACAATTATATAAAATATTATATATATATATATATATAATATATATATATATATATATATATATATATATATGTATGTATATATATATATATATATATATATATATATATATATATATATATATATATATATATATATATATATATATATATATATGTATATATATATATATATATATATATATATATATATATATATATATATATATATAATATGCAGATTGAGATAGTCCTGAAATGAACTAAATAATGTAACAATGTAAAGGGGAGATGTGCGTTTTAATGTCCCTCTCAACACTCCCCTGTCTACGCAACTCAACAAAATAAAAATAGCGATGACGTATCTCATATTTAAAAATTAAAGTAATTGCTGAGCATTAATTGTGTATTTAAAAGTAATAATCAGTATAGGGCTACATTCTAACAAAGAGTGCGATTAATCTCTAAACGACGATAAAGTTATATTGAAGAAACTTTTCTTGGTAGTTAAAGTATAATTCCCCTGTTTAATGGAGTCAAGAAAGCGATGTGAATTCGGCATAAAATACTGGTGATATTATTTCCATTATCTGAAAATAGTTTAACTTTACACTACAATACGTAGACTCTGTAGGCTTAATTATACCGAAAACATACACCATAGCGATGCTATAAGCTACTCCACCACCACGCGATCTTATAATTGATAAATCAATACCAGCTGATGCTACTATGTCGCAAAACAATCTAAAATCGATAGCGTTGATTGTACAGAAATTGGAACATATAGGCGAATGAAAATGTTTTGATTTATTTAAAATGTTCGATCTGTGATTTCGTATGATCGAATTATGTTTGATAATTAATCTTCATTCTGTGTGTGTATGTGTGAGTTTGTGTGTCGCCTACGTGTGCCTGTTATCGCGCTGATGTGTATGTTTGTGAATGTATACGTTTGTAAGTTTGTGTTGTGTATATTTTATTAGTATTTCGGTGCTAACTTGAACACAAACAAAAAAAAAAGTTTTGGTTATCTACCTATTGCAATCGGGTATAAAAAGTTCCCTTTTCAAAGCTAACGGTCTTTAGGGCAAGTGAAGTAGAGTTCACTTGTTTCTTTGACCTCGGCATATGAAGAGATAGTGTGGTCAGCACTATGCCCAGCCGCCTTTACTTTCCCTAACATGAGTTAGGTACCCATCTGTGTTAGTTGGACTCAGAGACGGTCTACTGACTTGAACCCGGATTCGAACTCGAGACATACAGGTTAAGCAGTCCAGCTCTCTAACGCTAGACCACTCCGTCCCCGGGTATAAATCGTATAAATCGGGTATAAAGTTGCGAAAATCTGGAAGTGATTTGTATTTGAAAATAAGTCACTAACTCTATCCCTTGCCTAAACCCAAGACTAGCCAATCAAACCTAAATCGTGATCCTTTAACCCTTAACAACATTTACAGAACAATAACCCCAATAAGATTCGATTTTTTGAAGCAGATTTGCAGCACATTAACAACAAAGGAAAACATATGTAGAGCTCTCTTACTTGAGTTAAATACATAGACGTACGCGGTCTAGGCTCTATTGAGGTCGTATGAACTCACAAAATATTTTAAACGCGATTATTAAAACAATTGAAAGTAAATTATTATAATTATTTAATTCTATTGCCAAGTTTTATTTTTTCTATTATTTTCTATTGATTTAATTGAGCAAAAATGATAATCGGCGATGTGGTCTTATACAGTATTATACCGACATAATGGCGGTCACAAGCAGAGGTTTTGTGAGATATATTAACTCAATTAAATCGATATAAATTAGCTGCTTGTATAAATTTGCATTTAAAAGAAATGTTATATTCCTCTTTTGAAATTTTACACGCATCAGTGGATACATTTGTAAGGTTAAAAATAAATTTGATCATCATTGATTATTTTTTTTTAATAGAAGATAGATTTCTAAGGCGGAGTTGGGTATATTTCTTGACAGGGACAGCATAATTATGCAAAAAATATATGTGTACAGGTGCTTTTTCACTGATGTGTGTTGAGTTTTGAGAAAACAAATTATCTGTATAAAAAATAAAGTTCCACTAATTATATATTTTTTAAATATTTTTTTATTTAGCGGATTAGTACTTCGATATAAATTATGTTTATTTTAAACGCAGGCATATTGAAATTAAAATACCTAATGGTTTTTGTTTCTTTAACTAAATTAAAGCTACTTCAACAAAAAATAACGAAATCCCCTTTGCAGTATAGAAAGACATACAGTCAATATTTACAGTAAAAGTTCGGTTTACTGACAAAATCGATTGTTCAAACAAATATCATTTTAGTTTAGTCATTGAAATTTAATTTAAACATTACTATATCCTATTATAAAAGGGGAGATAATAATATTAAATATTAGCCGAACAGTTCGCCGTCTAGAGTGACCTGTTTGTCACGGTTGTCTGATTTTTTCGCGTCGACACGAAGAAGGGAAACTTAACTGTCTTCTAGAAATCGCAAACAACTAGTAGGGTTTTAACACACATACTTTTAGTAAAAGGCTATATAGATTTAGTGTCAAATTAATTTATAATGAATTACTATCAAGTGGAAAATAAAACTAACTGAAAACACTGTATAAAAACACGTTTTAATTTACTTAAAATCAGGGAATAAAATCAAACTACGTAAAGATTTGACCGTTAATTCACCAAAAGCTTATTTTGTTTAATTTTCTTCTTTTCAGTATATCTAAAAACTCGTTAATATTAAAAAAAATACATTCTTTTTCTTTTTTTTTACGTTCCGGTTCACGACGTTATCGCCGATCGTCATTTGCCCAGTGTTCCATTCAAGGGACGGGTTGCTGTCGACGTTCTCAAGTGCACAAAAAACGTTGACAGCTTAACCTTGCATATAGCTGCGAACTCCAATGTCTTCCTTCTAGGATAAAAATAGAGCTTTAAAAACGAAGTTAATATATATATATATATATATATATATATATATATATATATATATATATATATATATATATATATATATATATATATATATATATATATATATATATATATATATATATATATATATATATATAATTCTCAGATTGATGCGCATCTGAAAAATGAGCAACAGAAAAAAGAGCACACAGAAAATGCGCACAAAATACAATGCGCACTTAGAAAAATGCGCACACACAAAAATGCGCTTAGAGAAAAAAGCGCAAAAAAACAAATGAGCAACAAGGGATGAGCTGAGTCGGGTCGAGCTACCTTACCTTACCTTACCTTACCTTACCTTACCTTACCTTACCTTACCTTACCTTACCTTACCTTACCTTACCTTACCTTACCTTACCTTACCTTACCTTACCTTACCTTACCTTACCTTACCTTACCTTACCTTACCTTACCTTACCTTACCTTACCTTACCTTACCTTACCTTACCTTACCTTACCTTACCTTACCTTACCTTACCTTACCTTACCTTACCTTACCTTACCTTACCTTACCTTACCTTACCTTACCTTACCTTACCTTACCTTACCTTACCTTACCTTACCTTACCTTACCTTACCTTACCTTACCTTACTTTTCTTTACCTAACTTTACGCCTGATTATTCTATGTCACTTAAGGTTGCGCCGATTTAGGTTATACGAGATTAACTTTTACATTCCTATCTTGATGTACCGGCATTATATAGTCGACAATACCCTTTTATCATCCGAAGCGCACGTATAGAAAAGCTCCACACTGAATATCACAAGTGCTTTCGGGTCCTAAGCAGCAGGATACATTGGAGCAGTGTTATGGTTTCTAATGACTCAAACGGAGTTTTTGCTGGTAGTGCAAACAACGTTTAGGGATTTTTTCTTGAATATAGATATTTAAATTGTTGTTCTGAAAAACAGGTAATGATAAAATAATTCTAATTGAACCTTTTTCCTGCACACACAGACGCACACACACACACAAGCACATACACACACTCTCACACACATATATATGTGTTTATATATGTATATATATATATATTTATATATATATATATATATATATATATATATATATATATATATATATATATATATATATATATATATATATATATATATATATATATATACAAACTAATAAAATATAGTATACTTGTTTATAACTGTATGCAAACACACACGCATATACTATCATTGTGATTATCTGTTAATTAGCTGTGAAGATCATATACACTTTCAATCATTCTGTTCCTATTGATTGTAAACCATTATCTGTCATATATAAGAAACTATATATTATTTCAATCATGTTTCAAAAAACTGTAACGTAAAATCAACATATTTTATGCTTGACTTTCTGTACATGTTAATATACATAAAAAGTATATAATGTTAGCACTGTTTTTTTATGCTTTATATTTCATTCAACAGGATGTGGAGTTACGGAACCTCTGTGGTGTATGTTTGGCCTGGTTTTGTGTTGGTAGCATGGACCGTGACGTCTTTCTTATGCCACGAGTGCGGGAAATATTTTTTAACCGGTGCTGAGATCATCGTGAGACAGGCTGCCGCCGACAGTGTGTCCAGTCTGTACATTGTATCTGCTTTAATGCTAACAATTGTACAGGTTAGTTCATTATACATCCAAGAATAGGCCTACATTTTTTTTTAGCAATAAGCCAGTTTAACTCTAATGAATAGCCACACCATTGTATCTGCTTTAATGCTAACAATGGTAAAGGTTAGTTCATTATACATCCAAGAATAGGCCTACATATTTTTTTAGCATTAAGCCAGTTTAATCCTAATTAAAGGTCAAACCATTGTATCTGCTTTAATGCTAACAATGGTACAGGTTAGTTCATTATACATCCAAGAATAGGCCTACATATTTTTTTAGCATTAAGCCAGTTTAATCCTAATTAAAGGTCAAACCATTGTATCTGCTTTAATGCTAACAATCGTAAAGGTTAGTTCATTATACATGGCCTAAGAATAAGCCTACATATTTTTTAGCAATAAGCCAGTTTAACTCTAATGAATAGCCACAATATTGTATCTGCTTTAATGCTAACAATAGTACAGGATAGTTAATTATACATCCAAGAATAGGCCTACATATTTTTTTAAGCCATAAGGCAGTTTAATCCTAATGAATAGCATACCATTGTATCTGCTTTTATGCTAACAATAGTACAGGTTAGTTCATTATACATCCAAGAAAAGGCCTACATATTTTTTGGCATTAAGCCAGTTTAATCCTAATTAAAGGTCAAACCATTGTATCTGCTTTAATGCTAACAATGGTACAGGTTAGTTCATTATACATCCAAGAAAAGGCCTACATATTTTTTAAGCAATAAGCCAGTTTAATCCTAAAGAATGGCTACACCATTGTAGCTGCTTCTATGCTTACAATGGTAAAGGTTAATTCATTATATATGATCTAAGTATAGACCTACTTGTTAAGTAGCCATAAACCAGAGTAATCCAAAAGAAAGGCCACACCATTGTATCTGCTTCTATGCTTACAATGGTCAGGTTAGTGCATTATATATAATCTAAGTATAGGCCTTATGTTAACCAGCCATAAACCAGATTAATCCAAATCAATGGCCACACCATTCTAGTCATTTCTAGTCTATGTCTATGTATACAAACTCTCAGTAACAAAGCTCAAAATTTGTCATCGGTAAATCAGCGCCCTTGTAGTTGTACCTGCTATACGTGACCTTTGGTGGTTGGTGTGTACATCGTCACGCAGTTTGACACGTTTGGCTGCGCTTGATCTCACTATACACACCGCTGGTGTGTAGCTGGTGTGTGTTGTATAAAGATGTGCCTATCAATATAGATTTGCAGTGTTGTTTCTTAAGATCAGATCTTCAGCGCCCTACTCCTTTATACATGAAGAAGTGTTTAATTCAGAAGAATACGGATTAACCCTTTATTTACGGAATTAGGTTCTGAATGAAATTTTTTTTAAACAATGTGTTATCATATTGCTTTTAGCACATTTAAAGCGTATGTCGAAGGAAATTTCGTTTAAATATTTTTTAATGGCCCAAACAGATATTGGTACTTATAAGTACCGTCAGGAATGCAGGACATTTTTTCAAAAAAACAGGAACAAACTATACAATTTATAAAGTAACAACATGGCAATAATTATAACAATCATCTTTTGTAATTTTCACACTTAAATACAGCAAAAAAGTATATTTTGAGTACGATTTTTATTGGATTTTCTATCGGAACACATTATAGACCTCAAACACAGCAAAAGTTGCCGACATGTAATGCTCCCTCATTCTTGTCTGTGGTCTTTCTGGTATAGCAACGGTTGCCAGACTGAACATGCTTTTGCTGGAAGCTTCCAGTAGCTATTACTTACAATGAGCCGCATAAACAAACAAAAGCCTAGTCATTCAGTACACACTACTAGTAATACTAGTATAATTCTAGCCTACTAGAATGTTATGACAAGTGTACACTACAGTGTAAAGTTCATAAATAAAAGTTAACTCAATGTGTTTAGGATAGCCGAAGTGACCTACTGTTTCCTGTTTACGGATTAAAATGTACCATATAGATCTATACTATATGCAGAAGTATGGACTATCACTTGTCTACAGGTATACATTACGTAAATGTATAGTTATTGTAGGCAAGACAGTTTATTGCAGTAAATATAACTAACAAATTAAATCTTACTACTAGTACTAGGCTTTGGTATACAAATGAAGTATACTAAACCTAGTAAACGAACCTGCAACTGCTACCTTTATTCTTGTTATTCTTTTACTACTAGAAATCATGTAATTACAATATTTCTTAGGTAAACCATATGCTAACCTTCTTATAAATGTGTAAATATAACTTTTTGAGAACATTTCGATAATCAAAATAATATTTATGTCAGTCCACATAAAAAATCTGCCATTCCTAAAAATCCTAAAAAAATTACCGTGTGCCCTGACGGTACTTATAAGTCCACTTGTAAACATCGATCTACTACAAAACAATTTTATTAAAATTGTATAACTAGAAGTTAAACGCGTTTGCCTGACTATTGGAGATGCCAATAAAAATACTTGGGGATAAAAACTTCAAGAATAAGGTAAAACAAAGGGAAATCAGGAACGTGTGTGAGAAAGTTACAGAACAATTGTAAACTACCGATACAGCAAGACATTGAAATTGGCGCCACACCAAAAGTTGTCAAAATACATCGATACCTCGAACTACTGGCGACTCAGGGGAGATAATACTTTTAATTACATCAATAATTTTTAAAATTTGTATTACATTAAAAATAATACAGGCACTTAATTAAAGTGGTACTTATAAGTACCGTCAGTAGATAAAGGGTTAAATAGAAATTGTATTTTATGAAATAACGAGCCGACCCGGTGCGTATCATACTACCCCCCCTTTCCCCTAACCCCGACCCTACAACCCCCCCCCCCCCCCCCCCCGTGAAAGCAGCATCCACTTAGTTATTTCTTAGTTACCTCCTCTAAGTTTAAAATCGAACTAAATTATCTGCCCCTAATAGAAACCCGGCTCTACGGCTCTACGATTTGTAAACATTTAGCTTTGTAAACATTTAGCGTGACCACAACTCACCAGACAATGTGGGGGTGGGGTGAGGGTGGTAGTGATAGTGATAGAGAGAAAGAGAGGGGACTGCAAGGAGGCGCTTGTAGCTTGTTTTCTAACGGCTCCCAGAAGAGAATTATATATATAGATTGGTCGTTTTATATAGTGTTTTTATGTTACTATGAACTATTTTTTTCCTGAAAGTTATGGTATTATGCAAATGACGTATTAAAATAAACCGGGAGTGATCTCCTCTAAACTTTTTCGAATATTCTTATATGAAACAACAGGAGGTGGCAACTCGGGATATAGACATGATTTTTAATCCACTTTAGATACTTGAACTTTTTAAAATATAATAAAATCTCATAGAAAAAAAGAATTGCACATCAAGTGAACGCCAATTAAAATGTGCATAATAGTGCGGGATATTATTAGTATTTTATAAATTCACATGCGTACATTACTACTTTCGTTCGACGGAAAATACTGAAAATTTGACAGAAGGTAGAGAATTAGAACTTTTACTTACATGTGAAATTTCATTTATCTATCTGAAATAGTGCTCAAGTTATTGGCTTTTGAAAAATTCAAAGGAGAAAAAGTTCCCCTTCCAGTTATCGGAAATCGCTCAAAAATTTTGATATAATACTTATATATAAAATTTCATCAACCTAACTGTAACGGTACTCAAGTTATCGTGTTAACACACACACACACACACACACACACACACACACACACACAGAGACACATACACACAGACATACGGACAAGATTGTGAAACTATGTTTTTCCGACTCAGGGAGGTGTAAAACTTCGAGATTTGCAAAAATCTCGATTTTTTTTTCACGTTTACCAGACTTTCTCTATACTTCGTAAATACGAGAAAGTAAAAATGCATGTGCATTTTGTTTTAGTAATAAACAACGGTGGTGATACTTTTATTTTATCTTTTATTGAATATAATTGCGCTCATATGATCATACTAGACACATACACACGTATCTCTTTTGTAAATTTAGTAAACCATATTCTTGTTTAGTAACAATCAATTTATAAGCACATGTTGTGTCCCTTAAACAATAGTTACCTACGCGATTATTTTACGCAAACTTACTCGGACATTAAATCATTGTGTAATAACTTAAATGTAGTTATAATTAAACACTCTGGAAAAGGAAAACACGATTTGACCAGACCGGGGGTTGTGGAGGGGGGGGGGGTAGAGATGGCTGACAGTTAAAACGATTTATTTTAGTGTCAATGCATCTACATTTTAGCTTATCATTTATTGTTATCGATATTGTAATCAATGACTTGATTATGTTTAACCATTTCGTTTGTTTTATAATGTAGTGCATCACATGTTTGGTGACCCTGAGGATCAGCTGGTTGGAAGATAGGCGACAGATGGCATTGGTAGTTGTCACGCACGTGATGTCAACATTGGCAACCAATTACAGCATGGCTTGCATAGAGGTTGTTAGGTTTAAGCTGAGGGAGTTTGTGTGAGGGTAGTAGGGGCGGGTGGTGTGACAGGGTAGTGGCGTGGGTAGTGGAGCGAGTAGGCGGGCTGGTAGTGGGGAGGGTAGCTGTAACAGGTAATGGAGAGAATAGTAGTGCGGCCGCTTTATATATGTCATGTGTAGCAACGTATTTTGTGTAGGCTTTTCTGTCGATTGATATTTTAACTTAATGAGTCTTCGTTTTGTGTGTGCTGATGAGGTGGGTTGGGGTGGAGGCATGTATATTTTGTTTCACAGATTTACTGTTCCTATATGCATTAAAAATGTCATATAACTAAAATCTATTTCTGCACTATCGTTTCAGGCATCGTCCGTGTTTGCCGTAAAACTCCTGGAGCCTGTTACAATGGCAATCGCTCACTACGTCTTCATTGAGCGGGTCATGAACATTGAAACTGTTCTAAGCATACCTGTGATTATAGCTGGGACATTCATATTTACAGGTAGGCTTTGAAAAGCTATATATACATAACTCTGATAAGTAAATACTCGGCATGCAGTATTTGTATAACGCCATCGTTTATATTTTTATCTGTGTACAAGGGGTCGGCGTGGTCGAGTCGGTAAAGCTCATGGTTGCTAAACCGAAAAGTCTCGAGTTCGAACCCCCGGGCAGATGAGGCTCGTTAGCTGGGGACAGCCACTTTTCTAGGAGAGACAACTCCAAAATTAAACAACTGCTGCCTTGTAGTTTGTTCTTGGTTGGACAAAGGCTATGGAAGCATATCCAAAAATCAAAGCAGGCTGAAATCGAAGTCAATGTCCTCAATTGCGCATAACCAGTTGACACGTATCCTTAATTGTGATCGAGGCGTGGTCGAGTCGGCAAAAAGCTCATGGTTGATGAATTCGAACAAAGTCTCGAGTTCAAACCCACTGGCTGATAAATCTCGATCCCCTTCAACACTAATAATTAAGAACGAAGAAGAAGAAGAAGATCTGTGTACATTTTCAATACAGTAATAAAGATTATTTATATTTTTCTTTCTCCACCTTGTTGATGCCTTTCTAAGGATTATGCTTTAGGGGTGTGGGCAAGGAGAAGTGAATTGTTTTAGTTATTATACAATACCACCGCTAACAACTTGTTTTTCATTTGCTTTAATTTTTTTGTTTTATTTTCTATTTGATGTTTTGAATTTAATTTTAGATACGTCCAAAATTGAATCAAAACATCTCGTGGGCGTAGTGATAGCCTTCACGTCAAACATTCTAATAACTACCCGAAACATCGCACTAAAGCTGACCAAATTCAAAGACACGATTGAGTTAAAGAAACCAATTTACGTCACAGCATTAATTGCCATGGAAACAGTAATTAACGGAGCTGTTAGCTGGATTAATTTAAATGGTATATTACCGGTGCCATTGACTTTTCTTAGTAGTGCATTGTTCGCCTCAGGCATTTGCCACGCTATCTACAATTACATTTCACTGTGTCTGGTACTGAAGGTATGGATACATTTACATTGAAACATATTATATATATTATATTGAAACATATACCCTATTTATGTTTTGATGTTCGTCTCAAATGGAAATAAATCTGATACATGAAAACAAAATATGAGTGATGAATTGTAATGTGATTAATGACCGTTATAACAATCTATTGGTTTTAAATATGCGCAACCCAAAAAAAAAATGAACAAAATGAAGACTATAAAAAAAAGTATAGGATATTTGTCGTTTATTATTCCTCCTAAATATAACTACGATTTTATCGGTAAATAAAGAACAAGTATGGTTCATACTGGATTTCATAATCTGATTATAAATTTATAGTATGTTTAAAGCAGATCATCTATGATACATTAGGTCTATTCACTTAAGATTTGTTTTCACACTTTTAGAAATGCCATAATCAATTGTTTACCGTTTGCCCATTCGAATACGTCATATTATTTTAGAAAATGGTAGTTACAATTTCCATTGAAATGTCTCACCCGAACTATAAGCCTATTAGGGACGGTGTGGCCTAGCAGTAGAGAGCTAGACAGCTAACTCGGAAGTCTAGAATCCTGGTTAAAGCCAGTAGAAAGTCCCTGAGTCTATCCAGCTCTCATGGGTAGGCTACCTAAATTATGTTAGGGTAACAAAAGCTGAAAGCATAGTGCTGACCGCACTAACCCTTAATATGTCGAGGTCAATGAATCAGATGAACTCTACTTCATCTGTCCCATGCGTCTTGGGCACGAACGTGATTAACAAGAAGAAGATAAGTCTATCAACCCAACACTACAAATACATCATATAAAACATAATTTATTCTTTACCTTTACACTAATTGAACCAAACAACAGCATATGTCCAATATTTTAACGTTTTATTATCTATTAAAATAAGTCTAATAAGATACTTATATTAGAATCATTTTTGTTTTCTTAACAGGTAATGAATGTAGTGAGTCACTCTATTGCCAACATTTTCAAACGTCTGATTGTTGTACTGCTACTGTACAGCTGGGGCCAGCGTAAGGCCACTTGGTTCAACTTCTTTGGTTTACTGATGGCCTCACTTGGTTTGGCCATCTACGTGTTTGGGAAAGTGAGGAAGCAGAAAACATCTGCAATCGCCGATATCGAGAGTGCTATTTTAAGTAAGATTTGCATTCTAAATTAATTCTTTTATAATGAATGTTGATTAATACAAGTTAAGTTAAAATACTACTCTTAGGTTTTAATAGTGTAAAAACATTTATTACCTAAAATGACATCTTTCACTAATACAGAGTTTCGTTAAAATTCTTTGAAGGGGGGTATTTTATAAGAGGAAAATATTAAAATATTAAGGACGTACATATTGTATTGCTAAACTTTTGATTTTCTTAAAATTATAATTTTAGCGGTTGTACAATTTTATCGTGATTTTAAAGTTTAATGCAAGTCATTTTATGACGATAGCTGACAATACGGACAGCTAGAGCTAGATTTTTGTAAAGAATGTAACAATATGGACTGTGCGAAAAAGCCTTCACGTAATGGCGAGAGACTGTATCTAAATATTACAGATTTCTTTTTAAAATATTAATAGAAAATACTTTGCAAAGCTAAATTTATTTATTTTTCTTTTCAGGAATCATATCACGCTTTCAGTATAAGAAGATGATTATGTCTAGTTTAGTGTTTTTCTGTACTCTGAGTTTGTGTGTAAAATTGACAACAATAACAACAGAACGCACCGATGTGATGAAGGGCGATAATCACTGGTTACTGGAGAAATTCGTGTCCCAGCGCCTTGTTGATCTCCCCCTAGAGACTAACCTAAGGGCCTTAACTATGAGAACAACAGAACATTTCATCAACGAGGCGCAGCGTGTTTTAATTAACTTAATGACCGACATCATCGGGACAGCTAACCACGTGATGTTGATGGAGATAGCGACCTACGAGAACAAGGGGGACCCGGCCATTGCTGCAGGGGAGGTAATGCTGCTAAGGAAGATGAACAAGAAAATCGTTTACTACTGTTCGACGTTTAAATGCAAAAACAAAGAGGAAATAACGAAGGCTTTAAACATAAGCCAACAGTATAACATATCTGATTTGGTTATTCTAATGCAAGGTGGAGGTAACCTGGTGGGTTACCCATACATGGACACGGTCCGAGAAACCATTTTGAATCAGTTCCCTAACCACAAGACTATCCTGTTTTCTCAAAGTATTTGGTTATTTCCTGACTCAAACAAAAGCCTAGAGAACTGTCAAAAAATTTACTCCAATCGTTCTAATTTGTATATGTTTATTCGGGACAAGCAATCGTTACAGATCGCCCAAAACAATTTTAAAGGCGTTAAAATAATTTTAGCACCTGACATGGCATTTGGTTTGGGGCATGTGCCCCGTTCTATGCCCCCGTACTACGACATTGTTTGGCTCCGTAGATCTGACACAGAATCATCCAGATATATTCTTCCAGAGTTTCCGAAAAATATTTCCGTTCTTGTTTCCGATTGGTTGGACTGGAAAACGAACGAAGGAAGAAGAGATATGGAAACATCTTTCATCATAGCGGAAAGCGGATTGAGTTTTCTACAACGGGGTAGGATTGTCGTTACTGATCGTCTTCATGGACATATTTTGTCCATCTTAATGGACACTCCTCATGTCCTTATAGACAATCCTCCATACTTTAAATTGTCGTCGTTTGATAAAACATGGACGTCAGGTCTAGAGAACACAAAGTTGGTCAACACTGGACAGGAGGCGTTAAATGAAGCACTGCTCATGTTACAGAAATACAACGCGACGTTACCAGTCGTTGGACCTATAGATATGAACGCTTTTTCATAAATTTCCTTCATAGCGTTTACTATTTAATTCAAAAACAAACGTACTCACTGTGAATAAATGAAAAAAATCTTGTTGATGTTTCTTTTTTAAATTTAATTTCAGATCGAAATGTTAGTGATTGGAGTGTTCTAGTCGGTAAAGTTCATGGTTGCTTAACCGAAAAGTCTCGAGTCGACACTTTGGGCAGATGAGGCTCGTTAGCTGGGGACAGTTACTCTTCTAGGAGAGACAACTCGTAAATCAAATAACTGCCGCCTTGTAGTTTGTTCTTGGTTGGACAAAGCCCATGGTAGCAAGTACAAAAAGAAAAAAAATCGGAGTCAATGGCGCATAACCAGTTGACACGTATACTTAATTGCATTTCAACTAAAATTAAGAACGAAGAAGAAGAAAGAAGAAATCGGAATTTTGAATAAAAATTGGGCATGTTGGTAAAATAGCAACTTACATAACAATAATAACATTGGCTATTATAATAACATTGGTATTATTAAATGATGAAAAGCTTTGATTTAAATTCAAGGTTCGAGCGGTAGTTCTTGTGCTAGTCACTCAATAGTCGCGAGTTCAAGTAGCGCTACATGAGAGTAGATTGACTTCATAGCTTAACCCACCCTCGCCACGCCCTAACAATGAATACAACAAACAGATAACATCATCGATTTTGTTACTTTCTCGTATATACGTTGTATAGATAAAGTATTGTAATCGTGCAAAAAAAAAAATCGAGATTTTTACAAATCTCGACGTTTTACACCTCACTGATACGGAAAAACATAATTTTGCAATCTTGTCCGTATGTCTGTGTGTGTGTCTGTGTGTCTGTGTGTCTGTGTGTCCGTGTGTAAACACGATAAGTTGAGTACCGTTACAGCTAGGCTGGTGAAATTTCATATATAAGTATTTTATCAAAATCGTAGATCCGTATCAACTTTTTAGCGAATTCCGATAACCGGAAGTGGTACTTTTTCTACTTTGAATTTTTCAAAAGTCTATAACTTGAGTACTATTTCAGATAGATAAATGAAATTTGATATGTAAGTAAAAGAGCTAATTCTCTACCTTCTGTCAAATTTTGAGTAATTTCCGTTGACCGGAAGTACTTATTTACGCTATTTCCAATTTCTCAAAAAACGCATGTAAATTTATAAAGTACTAATAATATTGCGCACTATTATGCGCTTTTTTATTTAGCGTTCACTTGGTGTGCATTTCTTTTTTCTACGAGATTATATTCTACGAGAAAAATGGCCCGTTGAGGAAGGATACACCGGGCGCTAGGTTGATAGTGCTGTCTCTTTTCTCTAAACAAAAACCACCCCCCCACACACACCACCCCCACCCCCACCCACACCCCCACCCCCACCACCCCAACCCCCCACCCCCCCACACACCACCCCCCCACACACCACCCCCCCACCCCCACCCCTACACACACCACCCCACACACACACCACCCCCCACCCCCCACCCCCCACCCCCCCCCAAAAAAAACATGTCTACCGTCCCATTCAACGAAATATAATTATATACTTTTTCCAGTGTCCGCCCCCTCCCCGAAAATTCTACACCCGCCCCCGAAATTTTCAAGTACCCTCACCCCTCTCCGGGGAGGAAAAAGTCTAAATTAAAACCACCCCCCCACTCACCCCCACCCCCCCCCCCCCCCACACACACACACCACCACCCCACCCCCCCCCCCCCCCCCCCCCAAAAAAAAAGCATGTCTACCGTCCCATTCAACAAAATATAATTATATACTTTTTCCAGTGTCCGCCCCCTCCCCGAAAATTCTACCCCCGCCCCCGAAAATTTCAAGTACCCCCCACCCCTCTCCGGGGAGGAAAAAGTCTAAATTAAAACCACCCCCCCCACTCACCCCCCATCCCCCCCACACACCCCCCCTCCCCCCACCCCCCACCCACAACCCCCCCCCCCCCCCCCTAAAAAAACATGTCTACCGTCCCATTCAACGAAATATAATTATATACTTTTTCCAGTGTCCGCCCCTCCCCGAAAATTCTACCCCCGCCCCCGAAAATTTCAAGTACCCCCCACCCCTCTCCGGGGAGGAAAAAGTCTAAATTAAAACCACCCCCCCACTCAACCCCCCCCTTCCCCACCCCCACCCACCTCAGACGTTCTTACGCGGGGGTGGGGCTTCGCCCCTACCCGAAGAATTGTATGCAAGAAACTCTTCACGCAAACCATTTAGATTAGACAACATTTCCTTTTTTTCAATGTTTCAATGACGTCATTACATTACTGTGTGCACTCTCTGGTTTGAGATTATGTTCTACTCTACGCTAAATGTGTCGACGTCATATTTCGTTTTTCGAATTACTGTGCAGGTTTTTAAATTCCTTGTGTTTTCTCTAGAGCGTTCTTGTCAGACAGATAGATAGATAGATAGATAGATAGAGAGACAGCGAAACTATTATTATAGATTTTAAGAAATGTGAGTATTTAAAATGGATTAAAAATCATGTCTAGAAGTCTATATCCCGAGTTGCCATCCCCTGTAGTGTTATATTAGAATATTCGAGAAAGTTTAGGGGAGATCGCTTCCGGTTTATTTTTTATTTTGAGTGTACGATTTAAAACCAATAATAATTAGTTCAGAGTATGCGTATGTACAAAAAATAAGAACAAATAAAATGCCATTAGGGTACTGTCACTGTGGCGGTAGGGGCTGTGTGTTGGTTGTGTGTTGGCTGTGTGGTTGTTGTATGGTGGCTGTGTGGTGGCTGTGTGTTTGCTGTGTGGGGGCTGTGGTGGTTGGCGGTAGGGGCTGTGTGATGGCTGTGGGGCTGTGTGGGGGTTGTGTGGGCTGGCGGTAGGGGCTATGTGAGGGCTGTGTGGGGGCTGTAGGGGCTGTGTGGGGGCTGTGTGGGGGCTGTAGGGGCTGTGTGGGGGCTGTGTGGGCTGGCGGTAGGGGCTGTGTGGTGGCTGTGTGGTGGCTGTGTGTTTGCTTTGTGGGGGCTGTGTGAAGGCTGTGTGGGGGCTGTGTGGGCTGGCGGTAGGGGCTGTGTGGGGGCTGTGTGGGCTAGCGGTAGGGGCTGTGTGGGGGCTGTGTGGGCTGGCGGTAGGGGCTGTGTGGGGGCTGTGGGGCTGTGTGGAGGATGTGTGGGCTGGCGGTAGGGGCTGTGTGTTGGCCGTGTGGTGGTTGTATGGTGGCTTTTTAATGAAAGTCACATCAGATACACAAAAGATGTTACCTGCAAGGTATAAACATGTCACACTGAACTAAATTAAGTTACTACAAAATTATGTTCATATTGTCAAGATTAAATTAGTTGTAATATGGTAAATGTATATTTTATTTACATTAATCAATACGATGTTGTCATTTTACGAGCGTCAAGCAGTTGTGTTTGTTAATATTTGTAGCTGATAACGTTGAATTTACTGTTTCAGTTCGGATGGTTCATATCAGGGGTCTCCATACTACGGCCAGCGTGCCGGATGCGGCTTTCGAGGTCCTCTCATCCGGCCCGTGGAGGTCTTTTATGTCCACGGAAAGAATATTTGGCTGAGGAACTTTGCCCAGAAAATTCAAAACACCCCGAAAAGATGTCTTGAAGAAAATTCTGGCTCTGGCCCCCGAACTGATATTTGATAGTTAATGCTGCCCTCGGGCTGAAGTTTTGGAGACCCTTGTTCTACGCCATCTACATTATACCATTTCGGGTCATTTTGGATTTGCTTCCATAGACTTCGTCCAACAAAGAACAATGTACAAGGCAACAGTTTGATTTTGGAATTTGTATTGTACCGATAGTTGTTATTTTTCTATCAATGTTATTCCAAGTATTCCCAAAAACTGAAATTCCATTTTCTTTGTGAATTAAGTATCTGGTAAACGTCCCCAGTGTACTAGCTGTTCTGGCTATAGGCCTACCAATCGAAGTCATTTGTCTTGCTAGATGACAGCACTCTCCGCAATACATTTTATTTTCAAATAATGACATGGATTAGATCAAGTTATTGATTTTGTTTCGTCTTTAACGACATGTTAAAAGATGTGTTTGGATGTGTATAGTATGAAGGGAAAAACCACCGAAAGTAAGCACTGATGTCATCCCTTGTATGCGTGGACATGTGGCGTATTGAGGTGCAATTAAGTCATCAAAATCAATGAACAATACACTGAAGTGGTCGTGTGCAATAAGACGAATAGATCAGGTACGTCAAATGATGTTCTACTCGTAACAAATTTGCTCTATTTTGACTAAGAGTTTTAATAACATACGAGCAAACGTGTTGTCGAAAAATGAATACTACGTTTATTTTAATACCTGTAGCAAATTTAAGTTTTGATGTATGTTTCTAAATTAAAGAAATCTTAGAAAAGAAAACATATTTTACTTTAAATAAAATATTTTCTCAGCAAAGACGGTTATTTCCCTATGCCATTTCGATAGTAACTGGTTAAATATAGAAGTCAGTTTTCCAAATTTTAGGTTTTTGGTGTCGCTGATGCCAAACTACAACAGCAATTTTAAACAATCGTCACCTATGTTCATACAAAGAAGATATTACGCCTGTAAAAGCCAAGTCTTACTTTCCGAAACACTCTCTCCTAGTGTATGTTTTCTTTTTGCTTAAATTTGGAGTAAAAACTTAACTTTAATTTTCTTTGAACTATGTTGTTTTGATAAAATCCTTCATCATTCTTTGTTATTTAATTAATGTCATAAAATGACTATCAAGTAACAAATTATTATTCCTTTGTAAAAGCTGATTACAAACTGGCTTGGCGGTTGCTGACTTAGGGCATCGTATGGTGGGTTAATCGCCACGTCACCGTTACGTTGAGCTTTTGATTCATCCGTGATCCATTGCGATAGCTGATGATCGATAGTGCAAAAATGCCTTCAAGATCAAAGACAGATCAGCTGTAAAGTTGGTGAACGACATAGTAACGAGCAGGGTGAAAATGCAGCATCAGTGTTTTTTGTGAACAAGAAACTGGATATAAATTTACATAGATCAATAAGACATTATACGAATAACGAAGGCAGTCGTTAAGCACGGTAGTGTTTGAACGCGTATTAGTTATTTAATCCATCCATCCATACACACACACACACACATATATATATATATATATATATATATATATATATATATATATATATATATATATATTTATTTATTTATGTATTTATTTATTTATTTATTTATGGGTGTACGTCATAACTTCGCTAAAGTGAAACATACAACAAATATTACTCTGTAGAAAACAAAAGAAAAAAAAACTATGCAGGCCGACAACACAATACAGTTTATCACACAAAAGAAAATACTACACAAACATTACACACAGCACAATTAAAAACAAGAAACGCAACACAATCTGTGTTGCAGTCCCTGCGATATTTTTATTTATGTTTCATTTGAAGTTTGCTTATTCATTTTTTGGAGGCAGGGAATCTATTATCCACAGTGCTTTTCTATTGTTTTATCTAAACTTATCCGAGTATCGACATATCAAAGATAAGGAACATCGTATTCTATGGGGCACACTTTCTTTAAGTAAACAAATACCAGCCCACCGAAAATAATACACCTCCCTTATGAATTAAAGGCTACATTTGTGAATCGAGATCGATCTGTAGGTGGTCGACGCTCTGTATCCAGCAGGATATATCCCTGCTTCTCCCCACACCCCTCCCATGCTTACGCTACTGCTTGCAGTTTGTTCTGGGTTGGACAGAGACTACGGAAGCAAATCCCCCCTAAAAAAACGGAGTCAACGGACTACATGGGGCATATCACGATGACAAGTAATACTTATTTGTGTTTGAGGGAACCCGTCACAGCATTAAAAATGAAGAACAAAGAAGAAGAAATACTCTCTGAATAAGGCAGTCTAAGCTAAGTGAAGTCACACTACCTAGCTGAATCTTTTAAAAACGATTATTAAAACAATTGAAAGTTAACTATTATAAGTATTAAGGGAACTGCGTTGTTTTAATTTTCTAAAAAGATATATCTCTGTAATCATATCTCTGTAATCGTATATTATTATTTGTTATTGTGGGTATCACGCGCAGAAGTTGTGGGATATTTTTTAATCCAAATAAATCGATACAATTTAACTGCTTATATAGTAATGCTTTTTTGCACGCATGACTGGATAAAATTATCGTGTTAGAAAAACATGTTGATCTTTATTGATTTTTTTTACCTACTATCTGTGTTCTTTTTTTATATGTTAGTAAATATCACCGTGTGATTAGATATAGATTCTACTTGCACAGAACAATTGAAAATATTTCAGCAAGTGGCTGTGATAATTGCTCTTAGCTGTATGAAACTAACTTTTCACTAAGGTACGTTGACTTTTAAATATTTATTTTCTTGTATTTATAATAATGTCTAACTAGGTATATTTAAAACAAAAAAAACGTTTTGTAATTTATTATTGTTGACGATTAGTGCGTTATAAATTAGATTTCTTTTAATGCAGTATGCATTTTGAATTTAATCACACCAAGTCTTTTTTACGTTTCTTAACTTAAAGCGAAGCTACTCAAAGTATGATATTGTTAAATGTCACTGATACACTTTTTACTAAACTAGAAACATTTATTTTACCGTTTTGTTTCTATAAATGAATGTTTTAATCTTCAGTGCAACCAATAATTTTATAAATACTTTTAGTAAAAACAAACATTTTTTAATTTAAAAAAAGTTGTCATCAAATACAAAGCATTACATCGACTATGCCGTTGTGGATCACAAGCATCAGTATAAAAATATAACCCAAATAGTGACAAAAGATTTTAATGGATACTACTACGCTTTTTCAGTTTAAACAGAAAAAAAACACTTCGTAGGTTAAATAACAACATCTTAAAGAACGTTTAGAGTATAATTTTATTAGCCAAATAAGGTTTCTGAAAGTTCAATTACGTTTTTAAAATACTCTCTTGTATCATAGTTGCAGAATGTGGATACACAGTCTGAACCGAAAGTATTTTTTCTCTGTGGCAGTTTTTGTGGCGTGGACTGTGACGTCGTTCATGTGCCATGAATGTGGGAAAATATATTTAAGTGGTACGGATATGACCGTTCAGGACGCCAACAGTGGAAGTACGAAGTATTTATCCATCTTGTCTGCATGTGTGTTGACAGCTGTACAGGTAAGCTTACTTATATATAAGTAAATAAATAAATATGTATTTATATATATAGGCCTATATGTATATATATATATATATATATATATATATATATATATAATTTTTAAATAATTCAAATATTACTTTTAAAGTTAATTACACGTCTACGTTACGCTGGGTCAGAACCGTAGAATTGAAACATTCGCTTAATGAATAATTAATTGTCAACCCCCTACATAATCTAAACTATTCGTTTTGCAAACAATTATAAGAAAATATTTTTTGTATACACCTAAAATAAACTGCTGTTATGGTTGTATTATAATAATCACATTATTGTTTAATCACAAAAATAATGCCAAATGAAATAATTAACATAAAGTGATTTCCTCTAAACTTGCTTGAGTATTCAAATAAAGCACTTCGGGCGATGGCAACTCATGATAAAGACATGCTTTTTAATCAATCTTTACATACTTTAACTTTTTAAAATAGAAAAGAATATCTTAGAAAAAAGAATAGCGCACCAAGTATAAAGCAAACAATGGTTTATAATAGTGCAGAATAGTAGTACTTTATAAATTCACTAGCGTGGTTGTTTCCAGAATAAAGTCTTACGTAATATTTTAACAGGATTTTATAATCGAGTTACCGATTATATATTCTTAGGCGTGGGACCTCGCGTAAACTTTTTTTAGGCGATCGTTTTTTTTCTGTTGAATGATCTGTTATAAATGTTATAAGTTTGTGTTAGATTATTTATAAATTGCATATATATATATATATATGTTAGTTTTTGATGGCTTTTGTAACATAATGTGCTATGTATTATAATGTATTTTAGTGTATCACGTGTGTAGTTACCTTAAGACTGAGTTGTCTGAAAGAGAAATATCAGCTTATCTTCACTCACGTTCTATCCACTTTGGTGACCAACTACAGCATGGCGTGTATAGAGGTGCTTCCTCGTTTTTTACACTGTTTATCCTAGCAAACGTTTTTAGTTTTAAAGTAAAAACAATATCAGCCGTCAATTAGAAAACAAGACAAAAAATTAATATTAAAATTAATATCAGCATTAGTAATACTAAATCATACGCATCTTTTTTAAATCAATTTTGTTATACTTTAATCAAGATTTGAACACATTTTTCATTATATATATGTATTTTTAGGCGTCGTCCGTGTTTGCCATCAAACTCCTAGAGCCTGTTACAATGGCAGTCGCTCACTACGTCTTCATTGAGAGGGTCATGAACATTGAAACGGTTCTAAGCATACCTGTGATTATAGCTGGGACATTCATCTTTACTGGTATGTTCAAATTGGGTGATTGTTTGACATGATTTATTAGATTGATCCTATAATTTGACTTGATCCTAATCTATCCATCTTTAACAAGCTCAGAAAACAAATAGCTTATCTAGAGTTACATTTACTACTGGGGTATGGGCCACTACTCTCTCTTTAGATAGCGTCCTCTGTCCTTTTCTACATATAATCTACTATAGAAAATGATATCAAATTAAACTTAAGTCTAAACTTTCGCTTTGAGTTAAACAAAA